GGAATGAGGTCTTTCGTTCTTCCACACCCATCTTGATTTCTTCCACACGCAGCAATGAAATGAGCTGCACTTCTCTACAATTCTGGATGACAAGCACTTGGTGTTTGGAGGTGACAACAAGGTGTTTCGTTCGATTCTCAGTTTACTGACCTGGAAGCAGCTCACCGAGGAATCGATTGCACATCAAGAAATTGCTCGGATTGGGCTGCCGGGCTTCGTTGATGGCCTTGGTGCTGGCTATCTCATCTCTGCACCAGCGAAGCTTGTCAGTGCTTAGTGTTCGTCGCAAGAAGTTGGGAGAAGTGAATCGAGAGTCGATTTTGCATCTCCAAAACCACAACTTCTGCAGATTCCTCCAAGCTCGCGCTTTTATGCTCTGGTTGGTACCCGTTTCCACTTTGCTGCGTTCTTTCCTTTCCAGCATGCCATCGTTGTTAGAGTTGATCTTCCTGAGTTGATGACTGATCCATCGCGCCAAGGGTCTACCACTTTGGCTCAGAGCCCACCAAGCGCAAGGTGTGCCCACAGCTCCTGCGTGGAGAGAAGTGGACCTCCGGCGATGAACGGGTGGCCCCTAAACGGGGGCCGGGATGGGCCGGGCAGAACGATAGTGGAATTTAAGTTGTTTTTTTGCTACTTCAGAAGTTCAAGCAGATGTGACTACCAAAAAAATATATAGATCGATTGAATCGCCTGCCAGCATCTCTTCAAACTTCATTCCATCTAGCTAAGAAAGTTGGAAAACATCCAGGGAACACGACGCTCCCTTCGGAAACACAGAATGTTGGAATCCTGGTTGACCAGGAGCGCTCTGGCCATCAGCGAGCCCTTCGCCGGTAGCGATGTGGCACAGATCAAGGCGACTGCGACGCGCACCGCCGATGGGAAGCACTTCCTGGTGGCTTGGCAGATGAGGACGGGCTGCAGGTTTTGTTTGGCTGGCTAGTAACAAGAAGCTACTAGGTGGAGGCCATCGCTATCAGGTTGGAGGCCATTACTTACTACTAGGAACAAGAAGCTACTGGGTTGTTGTTGGTTTTTCTTTTGGTATTCGTGGGCGGCTTTTCGACCTAAGGAATGATTTTGCATTTTCTTATGTATTTGTTTTGTTGGTATTTTTCACGTGCAGAAGACACATCATGACACGAGCTTCTACTGAATCACTGAGAACTAAATTTGATATATACTAAAAATAAACTATCCAATCTATACAGTATCATTAAATTCATTGATATTGGTTGAAAGCTCTTCCGAGAATGGATCGCTCAGGGGTCAAGGTGATCGATTTGTGGCCGAGATTCACCACCCTTCCCGCTCCAAAAAGTTCGTGTCCCAGTTCAAACCGCCTTCTGACTTCGTTCCCAGGTGAATGGCGTGAAGAAGTGGATCACGGAAGGCGCCTACTCGGACTACTTCGTCACCGCCGTCCGCACCGGAGGGCCCGGTGGCAAAGGCGGGTTGGACGGTGGGCTGGACGACATCAGCTGATGTTGTAGGAAGCACGGAGGTCTTGGGGGGGGCTTTCTGGGGAGTATTTTGTGGAGTTTGATCCACCTTTGTCTGATGGAGTTTGACAGATTCATATATGCTGGTTTTTTGGCATTGTCAGTCATGCTTAGGTATCTCTTTGCTTCTTATTGAGCGTGGTGATGGAGTCACCACCAGCCAGATGAAAACCACCTACTCGAAATGCGCTGGAACTGCCCTTATCGTGCTCGACGACGTTCTGGTGCCTGTTGAGAACTTGATGGGCAAAGAGAACGAGGGCTTCAAGCTCATCATGTACAACTTCAACCATGAACGTTGGTTCATTGTCCAAAACCTTTTGGGCCAAATGCGTGCTGCTCTCACCGATGCCTTCATGTGGGCTCGGCAGCGCAAGGTCTTCGGCAAGCCTCTCATGGACCAGGCAGTGATCCGAAACAAGCTTGCATCCTCGTTGGCTGCCATGGAGAGTGTGCAGAGTTTCAGTGAGGTGCTCACCTATGACATGAACAAGCATGGCCCCGTGAGTGAACGCCTTTCAGGGCCCATTGCCATGCTCAAGTTCCAAGCCACCCGAACCGCGTGGAAAGTGGCGGATGACACCGTGCAAATTCTGGGTGGCCGAGGTGTCACGCATACAGGCATGGGATCAAAAGTGGAGGGTTTAAAAAACTTTGCAAAATATGCTGCAGTCTATGGAGGCAGTGAGGAAATCATGGCTGACTTGACAGTCAAGCAGGCCATGCGTGTCTTCCCCAAAACCGCACGACTCTGAGAGCCAGATGGGCGTTCCTGTTTGACATTTCGTTCCGCGAGTACCATCGCACCCTTTGGCAAGAGTTCCTGTCGGATCAAAAAGGAAAGGATTTGATTTGCCTTGAACTATTCTTGGATTGAGCTTGAGACGAAGGTGTATGAAAGGACCAGTTCTGCAATGTTTTCTGAAGTTTTGGCTAAAGAGACCTCTCTTTTCTTTGTTTGCAGGTTTGGCCATGTATCCTGGAGCACTGGACTCATCTCTGGCAGTGGCAGTTCTGTCTGCATCACCTTGCACACTTGCCTTGCTTGGAGAGAAGACCTCACATTTTAAACCGATCGACGCACTGTCTCATTCACCGACCAAGGGCGCATCATTTCACGAGGAGCTGCTCAAACGCCGGAAGGCCAACACCTACAAGGCCAGTGGGGTGACAGGAGTGGGATTCAGGATGCCACAAGTGGGCATAGACCTGTGACATATTCCTGATGCACAACGGTATTTGGGGTACACAGCCAGATTCTCCGATGCAAAAAACATGGCTGGAATGTCCTCCAGTTGAGCAATCCGGTTCGACAACACGTGGCAAGGCGAAAAGTCGATAAAGACTGACCCATGGAGTGGTGGTCATCCCCTCCATTGGTTCGACAAATACACATTGGTTGGTCAAACCCTGATATATAAAGATCCGAATGAACGGACTCCTCTTCGGGGCTTTCTGTGTACTTCATCTTGTTTTCGCGTGTGGCCTGGTGCCTTCCCCCCACATATGGTGGCACTCCCATCCCTACAGATCCCATGGATGGCTCCGGGACCGACCGTGCACAGGAGAGGCGCAAAGAAGGCCGCACCGTGCACACCAAAGCGTCCAAGACCGCCATCACAGTGGCATCCATTGCGCTGTTGGGACGCCAAGAAATGGGAAGAAAGATCGGCACCGGTGCTGGGAGGATTGCCGGCTGAGTGGATGGGAAGCATAGATGGAAGAAAGAGTCGATGGTGGAACACTTAAGACACTTAAGAAGCACAGATGTTCTGGATCTCTGAGATACTGAGGTTTGTTGGGTGAAACATCCAGTTCACACTACTGCTGTGGCTTAGAGACCTTAGAGAGCTCTTCGTAAATCTTTTCCTATGTTTCCCCGAACTCCAAGACAATTCCGAACAGGCAGTGTGAGAACACATCTTGCTCACTTGGACTGCGATTGCAGGGTCTTCAATGCCATGGCGATTGCCATGCCGCACTGGAGGACCAGTTGGGCCACACACCCAGAGATGTGAAGCAAAACGGCAGCACACACACACACACACACTCGCTGGTTTCTTCTGACATGTCGGTCCTGCAGCCAGTCTGAGGTGGCTTTGATTGGGTATGGTGGAAGAAGGCGGAACGTTGCATGGCGGAAACTGGTGGAAAGCTGTTTGAAGTTGCTGCGTCAGCAGGCATTGGGGCTTGCTTGCAGTTCAAGGGCGAAAGTTCTGACCTCAAGCAAAGTCATGTTATGTTGAATTAGTCGTTTTCCTCTACAAACAAGTGGTTTTTCACTTCCATGATTATTCCAGGGCCATTCCAGGGAGTGTAGTTTCTGATTTTCTGCCATGTTTGGTTCTGTGTTCTGCACTCACTCCGCTCTGTTCTGGACAGCTCAGGATGCAATTTCACCACACGATGTTTGAGGACAACTGCAACTGGACATCAAACATATCAGCCTTTTGCGTCCAAAACGCTATTGTTCCTCGCAGATGAGAAAGCAAAAGATGTTCCTTCGGAAGGCTTCCTTGGTTGCCCTTCTGACAGGTAAATGGTACGGCCACTTGCTCTTGGGCAATGCCTGTCTTTCTCCGATTTGCAAATGGTGAGCGGTGGCTGGGAGGGCATGACAGGAACTTCATGGCTGCATCTAAAAACCAATGCGCCATGCCTGATGCGAGGTACTTGCTCAAATGCAACACATACTTCGACTTCTGCATTTACAGCTACAGCGGCTTGGATTGAAATTAGGACTAGGAAGCCAACCAGCTCATGCGTGGTCTTGGCTTTCCCTTCAGACATCGCCAGCTGCTTGGCTCTCCCAGGTGCTGCGTTTGTGATTGTCCTGGGATTCATTGTCCATGTGCTGGGAGACTGAGCTGGATGAGTTGGTGCATTGGATTCCTCAAACCTGTTAAACCATCTTAAACCTGGTAGTGAGGAGTTTAGTGAACCTCGGATGAGGAGTTTTGCATCGGTTGGAAAAGGAGGCGTCTGAGTCCGATAGATACTTGCTCCTTTTCGTTGGTTCAATCATTGGCATATACAGTCTGAAGTTCCTCTCACGTTGGTGACATTGACCACGGTTTTTCGAAGTAACTCTTTAGACATTGGACCAGAACTCCAGCAGCATACCCACACCCAACTGTGGCCGTGTGCTCTCGACCTCGACCTTTGCTTCGTTTCCTCCACGTGGAAGACCTGCTGGACTGACCGAGGACGGTGACCGAGGGGTTTTCGTTTCGCTGAGGCTCTGCCTGATTTGGACCTGCTTCTTGACAGGCCGATCCTTAAGATGGGCCTCCACCTGGTGGCCGGTGCTGCACTCAGGGCCGGAGGTATGGGGTTCGTTCGGTGGTCCGTTCGTCGTCCACCGGAACGAAGCGCGGTGGGAGTCCAACGGTCCGATGTCCGATTTGAAGCTGAAAGGCATCGTTCGAACGGGGAGACATGGAGGAGGACGCACGTCCAGAATGGTGACTGACTCAGGTGGCTGCTATGCTCCATTTGGGTGGTTCAGTCTTCTGGATTATCGTCACAGAGGGCATCTTCGATCAGCTGGATGAAGAGTCCTGGTATCCGATCCCAACGCCTGGGCCAGGAACCTCAGCATTTTTTCATGGGTCAGACGGTCTAAACTGGGCCCAACTCCATGTTTCAATGTCAAGTGACAGTCACCAGTCGCCATAAGACATCGACTTCGTCTTCCGATGTCCAGGGCCGCCTTCTTCCTGGCTTGTGTGGGTGGTCTGGGTCAGCTGGTCCTTCTCTCAGTGAGACCAGAATCGGCCGGAGAGGCACGACACCGAGAGGACACGATCCCCGGCTTTACAACGCAGCCGCTGCCAAGTGGAAAGAGATCACGAAGATTCACGAAGTGCTTTATTTGGTTTCTTTCCAAAAGCTGTTTGTGGCTTCTTCACCTCTTTTTGGAGACATGCCCATCTACTTTCTCAGGTTCTCCAGAGGTGTCATTCTTGATCCAACCTTTTGCTGCGAGGTGTGCGTTTGGCTGGGCTTCAGCCTGAAATCGATGTGGCCGGAGGTGAGAGATGAGTCGCTCCACCTCAATGGGATCCCCACTATTGAGCGTGTTGATTTGAGGAGGATCCCTGCCTCCTGAGTGTCCTGAGTAGGTTAACAGACTGAGAAGCAGTCCAGAGGTCATCCATGAACTTTCCTTGGGGTCATCAACACCCATCTTCCCAGAGGAACCTCTGAACTGCAACATGCTTGAACTGTACTGTATCGCTTCGCATCCTTTTCTCCGACCTCTTCACCCTCTCTGCACCCGCCGTTCGTGCACCGATTCAGTTCCTCCGTTCGACTCCGGTCCCGACCCCGTGCACCAGGTGGATCCGGACGACCCGAGCCAGTTCATCACGGACTCGGAGAAGTCCGAGGAGCGGAGCAAGACGAAGCGGTCTCCGGTGATGGGGTGAGAATCCGAGCCAGGCTCGGTCCATGGGTTCCGCGCCCTTGGTTTTTGGCAGTGTTTTGATGGGGCTTTCGTGTCCCAACCCCAAAAAGGTGTGGAATTAGGTCGGATGGGCTAAGGATGGGCTGGTCTTGGGTGACGTGAGGGTTTTTATGCGCCCAATTCCCTGCGGTGACCGAAAAAGAGGCAAATGAGGAGGGTGGCTGATGGGGTCAAGTCATCCTGATGTGGTAAGGGCATGAGACTTTGTGAGCGTAACTTGGGTTGGTGGACATGGGGTTAGATGCTGAATCCAAGGCACTGCGCTCATTCACATGAAAAGCATCATTCATTGTTGCCGCGATGAGATGCTTTTTTTGTCTTTTTTTCTTCTTTTGCAATACATAGTCTCCACCGAGAAACTGGATATAGAACTCTGACCTGAAGTCGATACCGCATTCCGGCGAAAGATAGGGCCAGCGGGTAAGCCGAGTGAGCATCATATTTCATCATATTTCCTGATTTGGCTACTGTGTTTTGGAGCCACAGTTCGATGGCGTTTTCCATGCCCGTAGAAAACGCCAGTGGCAGGATGAAGATGATGTTGCAGCCTATGAGGCCGACATTTTGTTTCAGGGCGAAAATGTCCAGCGGAGTCATCGAATGGATTGCATGCACCTTCTTTTCGAGGACCTGAGGAAGTCTTTAAAGGTCTAGATCTAGGGTTGGATGACGCCATCCAAGCCGGTTCCACCAGAGGCCATGGGAATCCGAATTCCAATTCGTGAACCGCACTGCTCGGTGCGGGTCAAGGCTGAGGTCTCAGCTCTCTCCTTGAGCGCAGGAGGCCATGCCAGAAATGACCAAAGCGCCCATGCCCGGCCCTGCGATGCCGGCCACAATGCCGGAACTGCCTCAAGGAGGACCAGTGTTGGCATCTCCAACTGTTGGTACAGGCAGTCAACACTGACCATCATCCATCGTCAGTGGGCTACTCAGCCATCATCATCCATCAACCAATACTGACCATCGTCCTTACGGTTTTACTTCAGAGTTAACAAGGTAGATTTTTTCTTCCGCGGATTTGTCCGCCAGGTATCCCAGTGGAAGGGTGACCTAGCCAGGGTGATGATACTGAAAATCGGAGTTTAGGTCACAACGTCTCAAAAGTGGAGGTGACTTTTTTGTTTTTCCGACTCAGCCCCTCACCTGGTCATATTCCCATCTCTTGTTATGAAATCATTTGAGTCATGTGGATGCAACTGGCGAGGAGCTGCAACTTACTCGGCAGAAATCTCAGAGAATAGCAGCGAACGCAGACAGCGAAGGATGCTCCACGCAGTCGAGGCTGGGTCACCTGCCGCTGAGTCGACTCCGGAGAAGCCACAGCGTGACATTCTCAGTGACACGAGAATCAGCATCACATGGAAGGAAAGTGGGACAAGAGCGTGATGGAGGAGAGAGGTAGGAAAGCCTAATAGCAATGACCTCCACCCTAGAAGCGATGGCCTCTACCCTAGTAGGGATGGCCTCCAACCTAGCAGCGATGGCCTCTGGTGGACCAGTTGTTGAGCAACGGGGCATGCAGTTCTACCCTCCTTGCACAGGCTCAAGCCGCGCGCAGATTTAGGTGAATAGTGAGCATGGCAGTCGGCAAGAACAAGCGCCTTACCAAGGGAGGGAAGAAGGGTGGCAAGAAGAAGGCCGGGCCGAAGGGGTAGTTGCAAGACGATGAACACATAACGGGGTCGTTCAACCTGGAGCCCGACCAGTCCACTATGTGGCGAAACGACCTCCCAGGTAGTCAACCGGCCTCCTGGTGCCATGACCCAATCGCTGCGAAAGCGCCAGGCCGGTGACCCCTTCCTGAGAAAGGAGTGGTATGACATCAAGGCAGCGGCTTGGGTCAAGCAAAGCAGGGTAAACAGGCATGTATTGTTTATCAAACAACATATTGCACTATCCAGCCGCCAGCCTTCAATAATTCATCATCCACAATCATAGCCAATAGTCTGATTTCATTCATTCAAGGAAAAAGTTCACGCACGACGTGAGTAGGACACATCTTCTTAGTAGTATCCTTACTACTTTTGCTGGTCACGGTGCTTTCAACTTCCACTGGGCCCTCGCCCAACTCCCAGAGTCCTTCGCTGGAGGCTCCCAGCATGTTCTCGGTGCGCCAATGTGGGAAGACATTGGTCTCTCGAACCCAAGGCGCGGGTCCGCGCTCGAAAAAGAAAGGGAAGGGGGATATTGATCCTCAGATGAAAGATAGGTTGGAACAAACCATACTGTGTTGAACATGGCAGGACATTCACTACCTTCCAACCTTTCACCAAGAAGCATATTCAAGATCCCAAGCTTACCATAGCGAGTTAAGACGCCTAGAGCAAAGCAGCAGGGTAAATTTATGATCAGCTGGGTGTTGGACAGACTTATGGCCTCCAGAAACAGAACAGAGTTGTCACCAACTCCGGTCGGCGTCAGTGGTGTCGGTGGATTTCTTAAGAAAAAGAGGAAGAGTAGTCGTTTAAGCAACTTTATAAGCAATCCCCCAAGGCCTATTGATGTTTTGCTTGGGGTCTTTTTGCAGATAAAGCATGTCCTTCTACACTCCTCTTGTGGTCCTCCCCTTTTGATGCTCTCGCTCTTCAGGCACGAAGATCGCCACAGAGGAGCTGAAGGGCCGAGTCTTGGAGGCCCTCGGGCCCTCTGCCGGGAGCGACAAAATGGACCTCAAATTGGAAAGGAGGGTTCTTTACTGTAGAGGATTGTAGTTCACCATGACAACTCCCATTTTCTTCTTCAATTGTCCATGCAAATCCTTTCTTTTTGGTGAAACAAAAGGAAAGGGGCTGGGCTTCTCTGCAACACCGATTTTCTTATTTTTTGCATGGAATTGCATTGTATATAATTTGTAATTGTAGGGTTTTAGCTGGGTAGGCCTTGGTTCTTTCATCTAGACAGATCCAATCTGGTTCTAGTGATCAGAACCGGAAGTTGTGCTTCGAAGCAAGCTAGTGGCTGGTTGCCCTAACGCCAGGTGAACTTGGCCGACTTGAACAACGATGAGGACCAAGCGTCCAAGAAGATTCGCCTGTGCATCGAGGAGGAGCGGATACTTCAAGACTTCCATGGAATGGGGATATTGAGACGTTGTGTTTATATATATATATTATTTCACCAGATTTAATCCCAAGCGGCCACCCAAACTCCAGACCCTTGGAAATCACCAAGCGCCCGAAGCACCCCACGTTTTTTCTCCCCAGCACGACCAGGTGCAGGGCCGAAGCTGCCTCACCGACTTCCATGGAATGACGCTGACCCGCGACAAGATTTGCTCGTTGATCAAGAAATGGCAGACCCTCATTGAGGCAACGTGATGGGGATTCTTCGTGGTTCGGTGGTCTTCGTGATTCGTGGGATGAGGATGGGTGAAGGATTCAGTGCTTTGAGGAAGAGACAGATCCGAAGAGGGGCAGGAGCCAGCCTGACCTGCAAAAAATGGCCCTGCGGGGCTCACCTCTATAATTCTTCTCTCAAATTCCCATGTGCTCCAGGAAACCATCTGTCAAATTGATAGGGCCATCATGTGTAGTTGTTTGTGCGTACAGAGATGTGTGTGTAGTCCATCATTACCGGACCATCTGGCAAGAGCCCATCCCTTGCAGTGCTCAGTCTGCAAGGGTCCGGTTCATCACGTCCAGAGACTTCAACTCTTTTTGACAGAACATTTGGTTCTTTTGTTTGTTTTGAGCCATATTTTTGAAGATCATCTCTTTGATCTCCTTTTTGTTGTGTCCTGCGAGTTCTTGACTCCTACTTCAAGTGTTTGGCTTGGTCTTTAGTCTAAAAATACGTCTTGCACAGCCGTGTTGCACCAGCGAGGCCCATGTGGACGTGAAGACCACTGATGGCTACGTGGTGCGAATGTTCTGCATCGCCTTTACCAAGCGCCGCCCAGATCAGGTGAGGGCCAACTGCTACGCCCAGTCGGCACAGATCCGTGGCTGGGCTGGTGCTCCCAAGAGCTGTTGAGTTCGAAGAAGAACCGTTTTTTCAGATGGGAAGTCAGATCTCGGCCCGGATTTGTATGGATTTGTCTTTGGCCGATCTACTCAGGAGTCAAAGGGTTTGTTTCACATCAGCGGCTTCCGCAAAAACACGCGAGGGGTGGTCAAGAGTAGCTTGGTCTCTGAGTTGAGCTTACACTAATAAAGATCCTTTCCGAACTCGTTTTCATGCCTCAGGTATAGACTCCCAGATAACTCCATATAGGGACCCCACGCAACATGTTGGCAAAGCGTACATGTGCATCACCATCAAACAAGCCAGATATCATCAGATCTCCGATCTCCATCAGTTCGGATTCCTCTGACCTGACCCATCCTCTGATTCCTGGCCGAGGCAAGATTCGTCGGAAGATGGTGGAGGTGATGCAGCAGGAGGCCTCGAAGGTCCAGCTGAGGGAGTTGGTCAAGAAGCTCATCCCTGAGTCCATCGGCAAGGAGATTGAGAAGCAGGCCCAAGGCATCTTTCCCTTGAAGGATGTGCTGATCCGCAAGGTGGGGGAGCCGAACCAAGAAGGTTGAGTCTCATGCTCACAAGTCCAATTTTTTTGGCAAACAATATGCGAAAAGCAACAAAACCAAAAACTGTCTAAGGAATCCCCAAGCTGCTTTTGACCACGTTGCCAGGTGAAGATCTTGAAAAAGCCCAAGTTCGACATCACCAAGCTCATGGAGCTGCACGGTGACGGTGGTGATGATGTGGGAGTTGAGATGATGCGTCCAGAGGCAGACGATGCAGTGAACACTCTGACGGCAGATGTGACTGCCGCGGCGGCGGATGAGTGAAGGACGAAACCAGAAGACCTAGCTTTGCGCGCGTCGAAAAGGGAGGCCTATGTTGCATTTGTGTGTCGTATCGCTCAGGGAGCTAGTAGCTTCTTGCTACTAGTAGCAAGTGCATCGCTACTAGTAACAAGGGCATTATATACTACTAGTAAGAAGGAGCTACTAGTGGCTGTAGCGATGCCCTTGCTACTAGTAGCCCTTCGATTTTGCCACCTCTTTGTAGCGAAAAAGGGTCATCCAAAGGGCCATGCCATCCACGTTGGCCCATGAGTATTTCAGGGATCCTTCGCCTCTGAGGTCAGTGGTACTACCAAGACAACAATGGGGATGAGCAGGGACCGTTCCCCGAATCCATGATGATTGGCTGGCCGGGGCCCAAGAAGGCTTGTGATCTGGGGCAGAGCTGGGTGGCAACCGTCCGCAGAGATTCTTATACAATATCCATCTGGGCAAGGGAGAGAGAAACTCATGAGCAGTCTGCCTCTAGAGATGATAGATTCATCTATCAGCAATGCATGGCGGTAAAAAAAGCAATGACACTTCTTCCAGGCACAGCCAGGGCTCCTTCACCAGCGATCTTTTGATCAGACACTAGGCCTTGATGATATACCCTGGCCCGGTGACGTCTCGGTGACCGGGTGACGTGGACCCGTTTGGTCTTGTCCGACCGTTGTAGCAGACCCAAAACGGAAGAGGAACGAGGGCAAAGATTTGAGAGGCAATCGACCAAGTCCGAGTGCAATCGACCAACGTGATCTTACTGGACTGACAGCTTTCTGGGTGAAGGAACTATGCTTTCTTTGGCACTTTTTTTGGCGTCGATTTCTCCCCTCATCTGAGAACAACATCTGAAATTTTATTCCAGAACTTATATACCTTAGTCTTAGCTGTGGCACATCATTGCATTTGCATAAAATGGTGCTGCTTGTTCTGGGGTTTTACTTTTGCAAACATCTCAGGCCACCCTCCTACCATTAGCTAAAGCAACACAGAAGTTAGAACTACGTCTACGGGCACATCTGCGCACCTTCCAAACGTGGAACTAGTAGGACCTAGTAGGTCAAGTATGCTGAGGGATGACACCGGGGTGCAGCATAGGTAGCAAGTCTGGTGTCCAAGATGAACCAGACTGGGAGCGGAGATTCTTGGCATGCCACCCCTCACTATCACTGATCTTTGGTTTTCCAGTATGGAGGAAAGAGGCAATCGCTATTAGTTAAGTTTCCCTAAAAATCTAGGAACCAAATGAATAGTGCGAGCGCTTCTTCGGGGAAGCTCCCCCCGCCGCCTTTAGGGCGGCGCGGGGAGCTTCCTTGAAGAAGCGTGAGCTGTCCTGCTTCCGAGGTAGTAGCTACTACTAGCTACCTACCTAGCTAACCTACCTCACCTCTACTATAGCGGCCTACCCCGCCCCGGTCTTGGCAAAAAAAGTCAAACTCACATGGTGGATGTGGCTTTTCGGAGGACACCATGTTTCAAGCAATTGATTGGCTGTCAGCACTGGTGTTTTCTCGGGAGCGAACCTGCAGCTGTTTGATTTATCGCCACCAAGTTTCGAGCCGGGCGTATCAGCTTCTCAGCTTCTCACTTTTCAAGAGACCTGGAGAGGAGAAAAGCTGACCTGAACTTCCTATCGCGCAGAAGAGCTTGAATGTTTCTAGAGGGATCAGTTTCTTGGTGGGTGGGCGGATCAGTTGCTGTTTCCACCAAGTGATCTCCAAGCGGAAATGTTTCCAGAGCGGGCCACTTGATGACTGCCCAGTCAGGAGCATGGAACATATGGAAAAGATGTTTCCCAAGTATTTGTCCCTCCTCTTTTGAAGTCCCTTCCCCCCAAGCAGAACGTGACGTGTTAGCGCCACCTGGCCAGAAATAGGGTTCCTTCCTTCCCCATTGATCATTTTCTGTTTATTTAAAGGTGACAGGTGCTGGAGTAGTATTTTCCGAGTCTTGGACCACCCCTAATGATGTGGATCATGCTTGTCGCCGATCTAAGGGCGTGAAGATGAGACCGACTTTGCACCCTTGGGAGATGGCATCCGCTTGAGGCACGAGAATTGACTCAAGCTGTGGTGCAATGCTGTACTTTCAATTCTGAAGTACAGGGTTCAAACGAGGCGTGGTCAGATCATTTGAACAGTGGCCAGAACCAGCAATGCATGGTTTAGTGGGGATTCTCAGCCGCTAGAATAAAGGACACGTCACCTTTTGCGCTTTTTCACTTGTGGGTGTCACGACTTTCAACTAGTATAATTAAAGGATTTTGTTCTACCAGGTTTTGGCTGTCGTTCCTTGTTTGGGTTCTTCCCAGAGCTGCTCACCAGAGCTCGGTTACCACGCGCCGTTGTTGCCGCGGCCAGGTCGTGAGGTGGTGCCGGGTTGTGAAGCAACGGCGCTGGAGACCGAGCCCCAAAAAGAGACCGAGGGCTCCGGGCGCCCGGCGATTTCGACGGCATGGTGAACCGCGGGTTGATTTGTAGGTTACTAGAGGGGGGACGATTATTTTGAGTATTTAGAGAAGCTGGAAGAATGGAAATGGACCAATGAGCTTCGGCCACCCAGAGAGGCCTGCTAACTTGGTTTTGATATGTTCATGGCTTGAGCCTTGCAAATGGGCAAACAACTTGGGCTGGTGGTGTGGGTCAGACATATCGATTCCTTCTTTCCGTGCCTCGCAGGAAGATCTAGTTGGCACGTGTCGCTGGAAAAGCTCATGAACCCATGCAGCTCTGAAGCCTCAAATCCTCGCTTTGCAAAGATGTTTTTGATGCATTGATGCATTGGAAGTGAGTTCCCCCGACTGCAGCTTCGGTCCAGGACCCCGATGAATCGCCGATTCAACGGAAGAGAGCTCAAAGCATTTGGAACTTTCAAGCACTGCTTGGATCCTCACGCATTTTGGAGCCCTCCAACAGGGTGGAAGTTGGTTGTCGAAGATCAAACACATCGGATCTAAGACTTGATCAACAACCATCTTCAACTCCCAGACATGAACTATATGCTTCGCCATCTACACGTAGTCTAGGGTGTGTCCCATTACCAGTTAACAGTTGGTGATCACGAGTTCTACCAGGGTCGGCTGAGGCCCACTGGGCCCATCTGGGCCCTGGGTTCTTGGGATCGCCCCAAGCTTAGCTCCCCACCGGTGACCTGTCACCGGTCCCACCGGTCACGCCGACACCTCCGGAGCCTTCCATGGCACGCTGCACGAAGTGGGACTTCCTTGAGGCACACGGCACGGAGCAGGGGAGCAGGGCGGAAGAGCCAACGATTGATTCAGAAAAGGGGACAAGGCGTTTGGCACAACAAGGTGGGGTTGATTCATAAGTCAATTGGCAAGAATCTCGTTCTGAAACGACTACTACTGGATACCTTCACCGAGTTCTGCAGACTCCAGGACGATCCTGACTTGGATGAGGAAGGTCAAGCGGCCTTTGCAGAAGCCTCCGAGTTGCGCGAGCAGGACTGGCCAGTCCGAGCGGTATTTCAACCGAGGTCACTGGCTTTACTTGAATTTCTTGGCTGCTGCAAGCGGTTTTCAGTTTCTCTGCAAGTTGGAACCTTTTGGAGCGAATAGGAATGCACCAGTAAGTCACCACTCTTCATGCTTTTGTTTCCAGTCACCGCAAAAGGGGAAATACACCAAACCTGCTAGCTTCCCGTAAGGCCTAAGGGTCTTTCTTCTTGAGAAGCTCTGTTGACATGAAGCCGGCAAACTGTCAAATACACACGAACAAATTCCGATTCAACAAAAAAATGATTCAAAAACTAAGACACCATTTTGCTTTCTGAATGATGGTTTCCAAATTATAGTTTCCGAATCAGGCTGTTTCCTCCGACTCATGCTTTCTGAATCCATCCTATCAAATCAGGTGCCCTGATAGTGATTTAGCTTCCAAGAAATGCGGTGGGAATGCAATGGAATGCAAAGCATCGCTCCTGAGCTGTCTTCGATCATGATGGTGATTTGGGTGGACGAGTCTTTCCTCTTGGCCTCCCCGTTTTGATTGTTGCTTGATTGTGCCTTAGAAGGCACCGTTTCTTTAACGGGAACTTTTCTTGCGATGATGAACGGGTGGTGGTGAGGATTGTGGGCTTGGATGATGTTCTCTTGGGTAAACTATGCTTTGGTCCTTTTGGTTGATTCTACCTGAGGAAGTGTGAACCTGCATCCATCCGTGGAGTATTGACATTTGTTTGTGGAGTTCTTCCAAGAACCAGCGCAGGCCAATGCCTTAGCTCATCATGCACGCAGCAAGGACATGGCTGTCAGGGCCGCTAGAGATTGAAGAGTTGTGTCATTTCGGAGGGTTTTGAAGGTCCTTCACAGTCCTTCACCAAATCCCTTTCAACCTCATGGGGCCACATCCTGCTGATCGTAAGTGAAGCTCAGTCTCACCCGACGCCGATGTGAAGGCGTCCGCTGCCCTGATGATGGCATCAGTGTGCCGGGACGGACCCTGCCGCAGGAGCTGCCCGCGCGGCAAGAGCTTCTCCGGGAGGCTGTGACGATGTACGGGCGTGCCGATGCGTTGCTGAAGCCTCGTGTGTCTACTGCGCTGGAAAAGGTGGGCGAAGCGGGCGAAGCGGGTGAGGGTGGAGTGATGGGTGCTCGTAGAATGATAAGAACAGAGGTTAAGAGGAATTAAGAACAGATTGCCATTGAGAGATGGATTGGCGAAGCGACTGACCACTTGTTTTCTGTGACCAGTGACAGGTCCAATAACCTTCTCCCGTCTCCCGCAAACTCGGACATGCGCATAGCTGCCCTGGTTCGTCGGAACCGAAACATCCCTGTGGAGCATGCGATTCGAGGCAACCAGGATGGGAGAGAGCCTGTACAACCGCAAAAGGAGGTTGCATGCTGGGTGATATTTTGCCCTTCAATTGATAGACAACTCTCTTTATTTCAGGTGAAGTTACTTTTGACCCCAAACACACAGAACAGTCTCAAGCCGTCCCCGCAACCATTTTGATAGGTCTTGGACACTGGTGTTGGTTTTGGAGGACTCTCCCTTTTTCAGGCACACCTATCGACGGACCCTTCGCGCTTCTGGGCCAGACATGAGGCGGCCGTGCCTGCTGCGTTGGCAGCGCGAGAGCTGGCGCTCCAGTGCCGATTGAACGCTGCATGCCTCGCCCTGGAGGCAGCCAAGATACCTTTTTCCAAAAAACCGACGGGCAAAACGCAGATTGAAGGTGAGAAGGCATTGGTGGATTAAAAGAGGGGTGGGTTTTATCCTTTGCACAGCCAGGTGTTTCCCTGTTTTGCATTGGCCTTGCTGTAAGGCTGCCACAGTTCCTTCAACTGGGAGCAGCGGCCTGAAGAATGCGGAGCAGGTTGGCTGTGGTGGGACCGCAGCGAGTGAGTGATGTTAATGCATCGTTTTGGTGCTGAGGGAAGTTCGTGCTGAAGCTGTGCTATCGTTTTCTCCCTTTCATTCTTCGGTCAATTTGTGTTTGGCCTTCCTGACCTACCCTTGAAACCAAAGGATCACAGTCATTTTGGAAGGCCCATCATCTCAAAGATGATGAAACAGGAAACACCAGTCAGGTCGAGGAAGCTCACGTCTAGAGTCTAGACCCAAGCTGGAGAACATGGAATGCCGTTCTTCAGACACCAGCGGGGCTGATGTACATGAACAGCCCCAGACTCTTGTTTGACTTGCATTGTTGTTCGGTTCTTTCCATTGGGTTCTGACCACAAGCACCTCACTTCGGGGCCGTTCTGGGCTCCAGCGCCGTCTTTCCGCCATCTGGAGAGGCCGAAGAGGCTTCCAGACGTCTGGCCTTGGAGGCCTTGCAGCTGGACGCGACGAACCCCCATGCTGCGCTGCTGCTGGCGCGCTGGGGTGCGCTGCTGGAGAAGCGGGAGGCGTCCGAAGTTGCGCCGGAACCTCGGTTGGTGGTGTCCAACGGGGTGGGGATGTGATGTGAGTACTGTCCAGTGTGCGGAGCGCACTTGACCTGCTCCAGCGTTGGAAAAGAAACTGTAGCTGTGGATCACAACCCCTCCAACCCCTGCGCACTCTGAACAGTGAGGAGGAGGAAGTTCAGAGCGTTCGGGTTTCGGGTAGAAGAAGATCAGCGGCAACTGTACATGTGAGGGACATGTTGGATCCTTGATGATTCTTCGAGAAGGATTTTGCATGAGAGTCTTGCAAAATTTTTGACATCCGAGGCTCTTTGGTCAAGAAAACGACTTAGCAGAGTTCTCCGTTGTTTGCTGTATTGTGACGCCATGTCCGTGCTTGGCGTCGTTTGTGTGGCCCTGTGGCTTGTTCCGGCCTGTGGCCACCGTGTTGTCAATGGTGAGACTGCTGAGGTGGAGATTCAACGCATAATCCATCAGGATGCCAAGAACACTACTCCGGTGGCTGCTGCGGCGAGTGGCATGACCTTGCCCAAGTTGAAGAAATCCTTCACTGAAGAGGAGTTGAACAGCTCACCCCTTGCCAATGTGGTGAAGACTTTCGACCATTTAGACCTTGAGGACTACAACATGCTCCACCTGTCCTCCGCCTTGGGTGATTTAGGCGCCATGCAAGCCCTGGTGAATGCGGGCGCGGATGTCAATGCGAAGTGCACGGAGAAAGGCCCCACACCCTTCACGCCAAGGGATATGGCAAAGAGCGAAGATGCAATCGTGCTCCTTGCTTGCAACGGTGGCTCCAGGGCAGGCCACTACAAACACCAAGCTCTGGCTGATGCAGCTGACATCGGCTACCCTCACTTGACCCAGATCCTTTTGGCTGCCGGATGGGACACCGAAGTCAGATCTGAGTTTGGCTATACGCCGCTGCATATTGCAGTCGATTGCCCACCCCCAGAGTCCGAATGGGCAGGGAGCAAGTATTGGAAAGAGCGCTTGGAAGTCATGAAGTTACTGGTGGCGGGCGGCGCAGACGTCAATGCGGAGGTCAATGAAAAGAGTCCCAAAACTAGCAAGGGCGGGTGGACAGCTCGGGATGTGGCATGGTACAACGGCAACAAGGAGGCAGACAAGTACCTGACGGAGCACGGTGGCCACCGCAATGCAAAATTCAATGCTGCATGGCAGGCATGGCTGAAGAGTTAAGATGCTCTCACCAGTGCTTTCTTCTAGTGGCCGACGACAGCACGAATGCCGAATACTTTTGCCGGGTGAAAACGAAGCGAGAGAGAAAGACAGTGTGTTAGTGTAGCTTGAATCTAGATGAACTGTGACGGCATCCATCAAGACTGGAACATTATGGGCTGGAGCGCTGGGCTATGTGGATCAGATCCATTTTCAGAGTCACTTTAAAATGCCTTTGGCCTGTTGATTTGCTTGCTGATCATTGTTTTTTATTTCCAATTTCTAAGGCAATGGCTGTCTAAAGCCAAGCGTTGGGCACAGGAGCGAAAGGATCAGGAGACTTGGCTTCCAGTTCAGATGGGATCACGTCCCAACTCTCCTGTCTCGTTTTTAACCGAAACTCTTCTGCCGACCTTCTGTAGCTTTCTAGAACGAGTGACTTCCTCCAAACCCCTCCCCGAACCCTTCGCTTTCCAACGGCGATGGACCATGTTCTGAGGAGGCACTGGCTCAGGCCGAGGCCCTGGACTCCCAGCTGCATCCCCCACCCAGCTCCTGGGCGCCTCGGTCTCCACGGGAGCGATGCAACGTGGGCTGAGTCGTTCCAAGGTTTCGGGGAATGGAAATGGCCGAGTCCTTCCACGTGGTTTTGGGTCGGTTGTTTTGGTCAGATCTGCCGACCCAGTCAGTGTTTTTATCAATCTGTAAGTCTTCTCACGTACAGTGAAAAGATGTGAAAAGAATACTCCCAGTGAGTTGGTCTCTCTTTTGTGTGAGCGCCCATGTCTGTGTCCACTTTCTTGGCTTCGGCTGAGGGCAAAGAGGCTTCGGACTGGCTGCGGATGGGCGTCCATCTTCTTAAGCAGGGCAAAGCTCCAGAGGCTTCGATGGTGGGTGTTTGGGTTGCTGAAGATCCAATTTGGGATGCAGAATCCCATGGGGACGATGCTAGGCATGTGAAAATACCAAAGATCTGCACTGTATTCTACTAGCGATGGCCTCCAACCTAATACAACCTAATAGCGATGGCCTCCAACCTAATAGCGATGGCCTCCAACCTAATAGCGATGGCCTCCAACCTTTACTAGCGATGGCCTCCAACCTAATAGCGATGGCCCCCATCCTAATAGAAATGGCCTCCAACCTAATAGCGATGGCCTCCAACCCGATGGCCTTCAACCTAAGTTCCGGGTTGGGTGAAGAAATATTGTTATCTTTGCCGTCTCCTTTCTCGTCTCCCTCTTCCTCTCTTGAGGTGGTGATTGCGTGAGGGAAGCTACCACCTCCAGCTCTCATCATGGCAGGCCAAGAAGCTTTTCATGCAGACCGTGGACTATTTGGATCAACAGGTGGGTTCCAGATGCCTTGAAACTGTCAGTCCAGATCCCGCACAACTCAGATTCGAGCATCCTCAAATAATAAACAATATAGCACAGCACTAGTTTGTAAGAACAGATGATTGGCGATTCAGGAAAGCTTTCCCTAGGCCCCTAGGCGTTGTAGGGTGACTTCTCTATCAACTCAGCTCAAACAAAGAAGCCGGCTATTATGACATGCGCTCGTCCCGTGAAATTATGGACCTGAGTGCAATCGATCCATCCGTTCCGGCATCCCCCAACACAAGTAAGGGCCTAATCGGTCTTTCGCCGGACCAGCCAACAACTCTGATGCAGGAGGGGGGCCCTATTGAGCTCCTGCTCTCCAGACCTCTTCGGGCGCTGGCCTTCGATGCGCTGGAGGTGGAGAGACTCCCCCCCAACTTTGCTAAAAGCAAAACATGTTGGTCAAAAAATCAAAGCGAACTTCACGGGTCAGACTTGGAAGTCCTGCCTTTCTAGCCGGCAGAATCTATCAACCTGCTTGGCCTGAGCTGGCAGGGGCTGATGGAAAGCTTTGCGGCCACGGAGCAGTTTGCACCTAGGCGAAACTCGTTGCCAGGTCTGGTTGAGGAGACGGGGTGGGTGAGGTGCCTCACTCGTCCTTGACTTCAGCAAAGGATTTGTTCAAAGGGGGTTGGTATACAGCAACTCATCTACAAGGAAGTACCTTTTGCGTAGGTCAGAGTGCAGTCGACCTCTCAAAGTGCAGTCGCTGGCAGGGAGTGGAGTAAGAGTTCTGAACGGGCGAACTCTCTATTATATATATATATATAACTGTATATAGAAAAGATGCTTTGAAGGCGTAAAGGTTCACCTGACACACAAACACTCACAGGTGTATAACATGGGCAGGAAGCACTCAACAAAACTTTGCCATGACTTTTGGGATTTTGCCTCCTTGGTAGTAACAAAGGGCATCGCTACTAGGAGCAAGGACACTACCAGTAGCTCCTGGCCTTGCTACTAGTAACAAGAAGCTACTAGGAACATAACTAGCAAGGCCGATGCCGTGCGCTGTGGGCAGAGGGCCACCTCCTTGTTGAACTCGACCAGACCAGGAATGCAGGCGCGGCGGCTGGCCAGACCAGGTCGTATGTCCTGGGACGTTTCTTGAAGTCCATGGGCCCGTATGTCGGGTTCTATGTCGGTGAACTACCACGAGCATGTCGAGAACTGCCACCCTATCAGGAGTACTAGTAACAAGAAACTACTAGGCGGAGGCCATCGGTAGTAGGTTGGAGGCCATCGCTACTAGTAGCAAGAACGCTACTAGTAGCTCAGCATCACTCAGCAGTTTGCCTGTCGAGCTCGTAGCGACCAGACGTGCGGAGGTGCCCTTTGCTGAGCCGGAGCTCTCCAGGCGCTCGAAGGAAGGGGACGCAGAAGGAGTGAGAAGACCTGCGTGGAGACCCATAACTTGGCAATCTGTAAAAAATCGGGGACGATATTGTGGAAACAGAAAGATCTGGGATTATATAACCACCGCCAGCTTTCCTAGGATTCTTTTCAGACCTATTCTCGCTGATGCAAGATCTTTTGCTTCAGATGTGTTGGGGCGGGTGCTACAGCACGAGGAGCGCAAGACTTCTGCAACGAACACAGTGAATGCTTCAGTACGGTTGATGATGCGAGTGATGCGTTTGGCTTCGCTTGGATCAACATTTAGGATCCCACCAAAGCCACATATGTGAGCGCAGATACTTTACTTACTCACATCGCCGTCTAATTGATAGACTTGCACCGTCCCGAACGTGCAATCGACGGAGGCGAGAAGGGCTTCTGCACCTTTCAATTGGCCATGCGGCAGAGGCCAACGGCGAGAAGGCGGACTCTTGTGTCGGGCTGGTGCCGTAGAAGTGCAGGTGAATGGAGATGGCTCTGACTTGCTCTCTTGACGATAGGAACCCATCAAAAGAGAGGAGATAGACATGAATTTGAAGGGGTCAACACATGCTAGCACTAAGACGAGAGGGGCTGGCAAAGCTACGAGGTTCTTTTACTGAAACCTCCCCATTCCATCGAAACTTCGTCCAGCGAGATGGGTTTCCATTATGCCATCGCTTGGGCGTCTCTCACTGGCGTTCTGGTGCAGGATGCACTGCGCCACTTTCGACTTGCAGCTCAAGCTTTGCAGAGGCGGGCGAAGAAGCTGGACATTCATGCAGAAAACTCCAGCAACTGCGCAAGACTGTTTCTGGGGCGGGCATATGGCAGGACTTGGTGTATTGTCTTTTGTGTTGGAAAAGGCTTTCTCTTTCCTTCTGTGGAGCTGGCAGAAACCACTGACATCACTTGCTGAAAGTGCGCTGCCTATTTTCTTTAGCCTGTTTGGGTGTTGTTTGACAATAATAAGGCCCAAAGTCTTTCAAGAATGATTTCTTTCAATGGCGAACATCGCCAGTCACATCAGTCTATATAGGCACAACTTCTGTCACATCAGTCTAGGTCGGGCTCGGATGCGGCCTCGGAGGGCGTAGCGGTGCTGGAGCTGGGGAAGAGGCTAGTCAAGGAGATTCTGATTGAACTGGTAGACTGGTGGAGGGTGAGGTGAAAGTGCAGCTTGAAGAGTGAGGTTGCAGGGTAGGATTTCAACAAATAAGCAGACTTGGCTTAGAAGCTTTCTCTTGTCTAAGGCTTCTGGGGTCAGATTTCTGGGATGGCACATACATATATAATCATAAATACGCACGTTCCCAGGAATCCAAAGCAGATCCAGAGGCCTTGGACCTGGTTGGATCCTTAGATCGGTGACCGGAGGAGTGCATCTTAGATATACTGTGTACGGTGCTTCAGATCATTTTTTGGTCCGAATTAAACCCAGCTTCGTATGTTTATTCGCAGGCGGTGCCTGTGCTGGAGCATGCCATATCTTGCCTGAAGCGAGCTCAGGGCAGGCCAGCACCCTGGTGGCCCAGGAAGATGCATGTGGCTGGTGTGCTGTGTGCGGACCGAGGATTGGCGAGGAGAAAGGCAGGGTCTGAGCTCAACTTACATATCCAGCACGATACACATGAGGTGAAGATTCCCAGTTGTGCGGCCTGCCTTTCCAAAAAGTGCGACTTTCTTGGAAAGTCGAAAAGATCCTTGATGCAAACAGCAGTTGACTGCCACAGGCACCAAGCCCACGGAAGAGGTGTGGTGCCGCAGTATGCTTGAGCTTGAAATGTGATGGTGATGTTTTTCCATTGGACATGACACCAGCCGTTGTTTTGTGATTGCACCACCAGCCACAGTGGTGTTCATTTCCTTTGCCTCCAGGTGTGCCAGAGGCTACGCTTCCGGGAGCTACAAGCGCAAGTCCGTGCCTGATGTCCTGATGTCATCGGCTTTTGCAGAGGCTACGCTGCCTCTCATTCAGCTGCATCTGCGATTCAACACCGGACTCTCAGGCAGCTCTTTGCGAGGCTTATCAAATCCGTGGAGACCGTCCAGATGCTGAGGCCTTTGGTCCGGGCGATAAGTCCACTAGAAATCCGAGACGCTAGCGTCCAAAAGATCTAGGAATCAAATCATTAGCGTGAGCTATCCTGCGTCCAGTTACTAGAAGCTAACTAGTTGCCCTGAGCTTACTCTCTTGTGCTTTTAAGTCTGACCTTGCTTCTTTTGTCTCTCAAGGGCATGCTGGATAGGTTGAAGTGGCTGGCCGAGTCTCTCACCTTTTTCGCAGACCTTTCTTCTAAGGTCTCTTGCCCGCTTCATTGCTCTCCTTCTGTGGCTCCCTGGTTTGTCACAGGATTCTGCCTTGGATCCTTTTGCACCCTTGGCTTCGGGGTGTTTCTGCTCCTTCATTTCCGTGCATCCGTCTCTGTCCCTGCTTGTCCCTCCTTTGACCGTGAGGATTTTGCTGTGAGGCAGTCTGCACTGGAAAGAAGAGTCAGGCTTTCGAGGTATTTGCATGAGCGGACCTCCGACTAAGGCAGATTTCGAGGCCTTGATCGTTGCTTTGAATCGTTTAGCCTTAGCCGTCGAGCATTCAGGTTTGGGACAGTCGTCACAGCCCCCTTCTCTTGTCTCTTTTCCGGATTGGGAGTGTGTTGAGAAAGCTCAAGAGTTGCCATTCCAAGTGAGCCTTGATCCCCGTCGCATTTTCGAGGACGGACCGGCACCGTTTCCACCAGAGCTTTTGACATTTGCTTCATCTAAGCTTTCGTCTGCAGCAGGGAACCCCCGTGACCGGGTCATTCGAGCGTGGCGAGCAGGTTTCTGGGCTTGGGGTGCAGTGGCAACGCACTCGGATTACACTCAGGCCGACCCCATCGCTTTGTCCGACGTGCACTGGATTGTGGTGAGGGCCACCAGGATCACAGGGCCTATCCGAATGAGGAAGGTGGTTGATCTTCGTTTGATTTTGAGCTCCCAGAGCATCCACGAGTCAGCAGTGTACCAAGGTTTTGCATCATTGACGGAAGTGCAGGTCTTTTGCTCGTCCTACGGCATTGACCTCTGAGCTGCACCAATGCAGCGCTCAGAAGTGAAGTTTGCAAGCCAGAGCCCTGACTACACGCTTCTGGTAGTCAGTGTTGCTCCGCCCTTAGCAGAAGCGCACCACGATGTTTTTGCTGTGCCCCTCCTTGGTAGAGCTGGAGGGATGCTTTTGTGCACTCCATGTGGCATTCTTGATGATTCTGCCATTGTGGAAGGCAACTTGTCCAGTGCTGCACCTCAGTGGCTGGGTATAGGTGGCGTTTTTGATGTGCCTTTGCTAGATGAAGGTGAAGATGGTGCCCCATATGAATTGGGCATGAATGGTGCCGTCCTCGTTTTCGATGCCACGGACCAGGTTTTGTCTCAATGCCGGGTATATGATCCGGTGACAGACTCTGATGCAGATGTGGTCCCTTTTCATCCCGACCATCCTAGTTGCCTGCCGGACAGTGAAACTTTGCTTGGTTTGGTTGAGGCCTGGCTCAAAGATCGAGGCGAGGGGCCGTCGGCTTTTTATTCGGCTCGAGACGAGCCAGAAGGTGCACCTCCTCCGAAGGCAGCTGCAAAGAGGGCATCCGGCCCTGGAAAGAGGATCACGAATTCAGCAATCATGGACCAGCTCAGTGCTATCACATCCCAACTACAATTGCTAAGCAGCCGTCAAGATGCGCTAGAGAAGACGCAGAGTATCGGGAAGACGGCCTCTGCCGCAGGTGCTGTCGCACCCGCAGCTGGCAGAGGCGCCAGGTTGCCGGCAGTGTCAGACGGCCTTGGTTCCGGGGATGGCCGACCTCTATCCATCTCCGATCAGCTCCGGCGTACAGGTCCTCCTCCCAGAACAAGACAGCCAACTACGATTGTCTCTCCTCAGCCTGCTGCCGCAGGCGGCGAGGAACCCAACGAGATGCTTTTGGGAGACTTAGATCTGAACCAGTCGTCGGGGGTCATTGTCAATGCTCTCTCCAAGCAGTCGTCGGCTCTGACAGCACTGGTGGCACACATTTCAGCGCAGGGAGACAGCCTTCTAGATTTCAGCTCAGGCTCTCAGTCCTCCTCGGCTATGAAAGGGGTTCAGAAGAGGGAGAAGCTCCAGGCCGAACTGGCGATGAGGAATGGCCATTTCTTCCTGATGCTGATGCAGCAGATTCACAGGAGACTGCATCCAGGGAAGATTGTCCCAAAGACCGAAGAGGAGTTGGGAGATGTGTCTATGCTTCGTTATTTGAAGGAGTCAGGTGGGTACAAGAACCAGCGGTCCCTCGGTCTTATTCAGTGGATTCTGGCACATGCAGTCGATGCCATCGCACAACAGGACTTTCAGGGGGCAAAGGATATCATCGCCCTCCTAGCCATGTCGGTCGAGCAGGCCAACTACGACGGGGGAGACTGGACAGTGGCATACTTGATCAGTCTTCTGGAGGAGCCCCCGATTGTCCTCTTTCAAGAAAGAACCGCACCGATTATGAGCACAGGAAGACCTTTCAGTCCTCTGATTCCTCCTTCCTGGACGGCGATTACTCTGGGATACATCAAGGACATGGAGCTCCTTGCCACGAAGAAACCAGAGGTCCTGAAGAAGAAAGGAACAGAGAAGCCCGCCACCGAGGAGTCCCCATCGCCAAAAAGGAAGCCGAGATTTCCAAAGCGCCCGAAGCAGGCGCAGGAGGAGGCATGAGTTTGGGTGGTGATCCCTCTATGCATGGAATTCAAAAAGATGATGTTTTGAGTGGGGTGAAAGCAACAGCTTCGTCTGCGCTATGTTCCGCCTCCTCAGTTCCAGAGAGCTTTTCTTTTTGGAAGTGGTGTTCTGGTTTGGTGATTTCAATTCTGAGAACTAGATCTCCATTTGCTGCATTTTTGTTGTCAACTTTGCATTTGCCTCGGAGCTCACAGACTTCGACATCGCCACTTTTCCCTCTGCCGATCCCTGAGGAAGGGATATTCCGGAGGATGCCTGAGCACTGCTCCCTCCGCCAACGTCGACGGTGCCATCTGAAGCGTGTATTGCGTGTGATGGTGATGGCTTTGAACTACTGGCATGGCGGCTTGGGTACTTTCCCAAACAAGCAGTTGCTTCAGAGATGCCCTTCTAAGGTCCATAGAACGATCTATCACAAGTTGATGGGCATTTTGGTGGCTGACGGCTCTGGCACTTCCTCTTTCGAAGTGTTGAAAAGTGGCCGACGTTTTCCCCAATTGAGTGCACGTTTGGGCGAGCTTTCTGATTGTCTGACAAAATTGGGAGTGGCAGGCCCATACAGTTTTATGTTTATTGGACACAGCGTTCCATTGGACAACGACAAGCTTCCGGAGCACACACCTTACAGGAATCTGGATGCGAGCAGACTGAAGCTTTCTGGTGATGGGTCTTTTGACGCTTCTGCTTTTTTAGACATAGTGTGCCCCGCTCGAACTCGAACTCGAACTCGAACTGAAACAGTTATACTTATTGATGAACTCAACCCTGAAAGGATATATGGAAGGAACCGAACTCGAATTCGAACTCGATCTCGAACTCGATCTCGAACTGGAACTGTTATAGAAGTTAACCCGGTGGACGAATCGAAAGAGTCGAACTCCAAAATCGCTGTCGTCGATTCGAATTCGAATTCGAACTCGAACTCGAACTGTTTCCCCCCTCCGGGCGTCAAATTGTCGTCGATTGGAATTCGAACTCGAACTCGAACTGGTTCTCCCCCCGGGGTGTGAAAATTGTCGTCGATTCGAATTTCGATCTAATGCTGCGTTGTAATGGCTCCTTCCTGCTGTAAATTTCACCCTCGAATGGCCCACAACAGGAATGCTACGTTGTAATATAATGGCTCCTTCCTGCTGTAAATTTTACCCCACAAAAGGCATGCTACGATTTTACTTTCGAATGGCCCATCAAAGGAATGCTACGTTGTAAATCGTTGTAATGGCTCCTTCCTACTCTAAAATTTACTATCGGGTGGCTCACAAAAAGAAATGCTTGGTTGTAATGGCTCCTTCCTGCTCTAAATTTTACCCTCGGGTGGCCCACAAAAGGCATGCTACGTGTCAATGGTTTCTTCCTTTTCTAAATTTTACCTTCTAATTGCCCACGAAAGGAATGCTACGTTGCAATGGCCTTTTCCTACTCTAAACTGTATCTTCGTGTAGCCCACAAAAGGCATGCCACGTTGCAATAGGCTTCTTCCTATTCTAAATTTCACCCTCGGATGGCCCAGAAAAGGGATGCTACGTTGTGGTCAGTTGGTTGGTTGCTGCTGGCGCCGCTGGCAGGTGGATGTTGGTTGGTTGGTTAGAAGGTTTTTTGCCACAGGGAGTTCACACTAAAATGTTGATTTCGTGGCAGGCGCGGTTTTTGGAGATGAAGTGCAGATTTCGTGGCGCGGGGGGGTTGGGGGGGGCGCAGCGCCCCCCCAAGCAGCACACCAGATCCTAATAAAACAAGTGTTGGCTGCAAAGACGAGACTGCGCAGCGCGGATACTTTCAACAGGTCGATTGCGGTTGTGGTTGTTGTCATTGCTGTTGGTTCTCGTTGCTGTTGTTGTGGGTTGATCCGAACTCGAACTCGAACTGTAGGTCCACCCCCCTTATAAGTCCCTTAGTCGCCGATCCGAACTCGAACTCGAACTCGAACTGGTCCACCCCCCGGCCGGCTCTAATTGTTGTCGATCCGAACTCGAACTCGAACTCGAACTCGAACCGGTCCACCCCCCCGGCTCCTTACTGTAATTGTTGTCGATCCGAACTCGAACTCGAACTGGTCCACCCCCCCGGCTCCTTACTGTAATTGTTGTCGATCCGAACTCGAACTCGAACTCGTCCACCCCCCCGGCTCTAATTGTTGTCGATCCGAACTCGAACTCGAACTCGAACCGGTCCACCCCCGGCCGGCTCTAATTGTTGTCGATCCGAACTCGAACTCGAACTCGAACCGGTCCACCCCCCCGGCTCTAATTGTTGTCGATCCGAACTCGAACTCGAACTCGAACTGGTCCACCCCCTCTCGCTCGATCCACGCAATCT